ATTATTTCTATATCCATTTACAACCTTCTTCTTTTTCTATATTTATTTCCTCTTTAATTCCTTATTTCTTTTTTTTTCATTTTTTACTTTCTTATTTATATCTTTCTTCATTTCTATATTCATTTCTTTGTTCTCGTTGCGCTTTGTTTCCTCTCACTTTCCATTGTGTTTGTCTTATTTTTCCTATTCCCTTGGTCGGGTCGAGCATATTAATTCAAGTAGTCATATAAGAGTAGTCATCCGGTTAGTGCAGCTAGACTTAAGACCATGGTGTCGGGGGTTGCCCTTCCGCCTCTTCCGCTGAGCTTGCTCAGTGGTTGGTGGCCCAAGTTGTGGCCGCAACAGGACCTTATGGGTCTCCCGACGGGGGCCTTGAGCCCCCTTAGGGTATCTACGGCCATGGTCTTTCGTATAGTGAATCTAGCCAGGTGTCTAGCTCTCGCGTATTTAGTATCATTTGTTCGCTTTGCTAAAAACGCTCCAACATGTCTTGACCCTTGGGCACTTGTGTGGGTAGAGACGATCCTATTTGTCCGTGGGGAGGTCGGAGGGGTAGTCCGTTGACTTTGGGTAAAGTCCTACTTGTGCTTGTGCTTGGGGGTCACTTCACTTGGGATAGGTGCGGGTGCTATTGAGCACCCGCTAGTATAAAGTCACCCCCTGTCGGAGACATTTTGCGCGTGGGGTGGGGCCCATTTCGCTCCCTTATACTTCCTACTTTTCCTACTTTTCTCACTGTTCTCTTATCTTGCTCCTCCAGAGTAATCTGGTCTTCGTGCTGTAGTGAGCCAAATGTTAATAGTAGTGACATACATAGGATAATAGCGAAAGCTAGTCCTGCTAGAGTTTATATTTCTTAAAATTTGTCTTGTTGCTACCTGGTGTCGTCCCTTTCTGTCTCGAACTTCCAATACGAGCGGACGTCACCAAGCAGCACAGCAAGTCATACCTAAGGTAACAAGCAACATTTTAAAAAATTAGAGTCATTGATTTTTATGTATATTTTTCTTCATCAATAAATGCAGGGTGCCGTACAAAGATAGAAAGGGCTTTTATTTAAATCACTATATGGAATTATTGACGGGACTGGTACATAGAAGTAAAAGGAATAACGGAGATATTTGGCAATCGATGTGATCGCATACGTCCCTGATAATTTGAACATCAACCAGTAAAAAGGAATATCGCAAACAATTCCTCCATAATTTTATCAACGGCTACGAAGTACATCATGTTTTCGGAACAACGTACAGCTAAGCGATATTATTTATTTTAGTTTGGTTTTTGTAATTTGTAATGTAAGTGTGGGTCATGAGTGTTATGGAATGGGTCATGAATGTTATATCTTAAAATCGCCTTATTTAATCAAATATGTTCTTATTGAATTCATTTGTCATTGTGTGTTCATTTATATTTTTTGAATTGTGTTAATTTGGACATAAATTAATTCAGCTAATAACTTTTTTATTTTTTGTATTTAAAGACAATAATTTCTTTCGATGTTTTTCTCTCAATTATTAAATATAAATTCATAAGGAATTATTACAGTGCATACGCTTTACGCATCTTCTTCGCCCCTTATTCCCTCAGTCCTTACCATCTCTGTTTTTCACTCTTTCTTTTTAACAATCTTCCTCTTTTCCCCTTCAACAACA